ATTTAATACAGAACACTTGTCAAACGTGAAGTTAACAAACGAGCTTTTCATAGAGGTGTTAATTTTCTATTTCTGTAATTTAAAAATATATCACCATTGTCGTAAGGGTTACACTGGTATATCCCTAATAAATGTATCAATTTTACAGGTATGTTCCCTAAAAAGAAATTAAATTTTGTTACCTTCATTATCCAAATCTTTAAAATTTACCTCTTAAATGTATTGATTTGTAATTGATTAATTTGGCTAATATGCTTTTTGTAATGTATAAACCATGAGTACTAGGCAATAGGTATATCATTCGGCCATTAGTTATTTTAGCAGCCAGTAAAATGGTCCTTTTTACTTAAAACCCACACTGACTCCGATGAAAGGTGAATGGTCCATGATGAATTCAAACTTACATTGCACTATTCAACTGTAAAGCTTGATTTCTTGTATATTGGTTTGGTCATGTTTAATATGTTATGTTATGTGCATTCTTTAAAATGAAATAAAGTTCATTATATTGTGTTACTACTAGTTGATTTTGAATTCTTGGAATGTTGAACAGTTTTGAGTAGTTTATTGTTAAATAGACGGCGCTAGAAGAGAGAGATCGATATTACCTTTTCTAGAGACGGAAATAGCACAAAGCCCTAATAACATACCTTGGCCATGATAGTCGTTTTGGTAAGAACCCCACCGGGGAATATACACATTTATTATCTTCCTTTGGAAAAATAAAATTAACGGAAAAAATATTATGAGATATTTAAAAGGTAACTCTTGAACTTTGATTTACCACAGGTGCTGTACATCTCCCAACCATATATAATCTGTTGGAGGGGGGGGGGGGCGTCAGGTATGTCAACAGTTTCTAAAGCTACCTGTTCATGGTATCTAGTAGCATTCTGATATAACAATTCCTTCAGTATCCATCAACATGGGCTGTAGCTTAATAAAGTACCTTGAAATACACTATTTACCACTGAAGGAATCCTAAAGTTGAAAAAGTTTACATATTACTCTGAGAATGATATGTTGAACCACCCAGTGTTCACAGTACCTGGGCTATTTTTTACACGCCGACAAAAATAATATAAAAAGCTTTTGTATTATTTAAACGACCCTCGCAAAGTCTCTCTGCCCTTGTTTTATATCTCCTCTAAATTAAATTATTAACGCGCAGAAAAGGTAATCTCTATTATTACATTATTTTGTGGCAAAATAGAAAGAATACAATAGCATACAATTATAGATAAGATGCAATTACCACATCCATTCGGCTAAACTGTTTGAGTGAGCTTTGTATGATCTTAATCAAACAAAAAGACAATTATAATTATTTTCTACAGAGGAAGTGCATAAGGCATTAATCTTTTACCAAAGAGAGGTAATTGGAGAAAGATTAGGAATAACAAAATGAAACGTATGAGATGCTGTTAAAACCGTTAAAATCATAAAATGGTTGTGAACAATTATTATGAATAGCTTAAAAAGTAAATATTAATGGCAAAAAATAATTATTCGATGTTAGGCTATTAGTGAGCATTAAAGAGCCTACAGGATAACAGATAATGTAATATCAAATGGCCCCAAAAATCAAAATTTCAAACATCTAGCTCGAATAAGAAAATATATCATATACAAAATAATATCTACATTGTCATTCCGTTTCCGTCTAGATCTCAACATCGATGCGGATATCCGCCTTTTATCACACGGCGTTATTTATGACTATTTCATAATATTAATTATTTCGATAAGATGTACGACATTGCAGAATTCATGTAGGTAATAATCACTTTGGTGTGTACGTAAGTAATCTCTCCCCCGACTTGGTACGTTCTCTATGCATTGTGCCATGTGTCATGAAAATTCTAATTAATAGGATTGTATTGTTAAGAGATAAACAACTCTGAGACTGGTGATAGACAGGTTATTTGCAAACATCAACCTTGCAGTAAGTATTAAAAAACCACAAAAGAGAGATTTCGCAACAACGGCCTGTTTTTAAATCCCTAATGTTTATAATGTATAAAGTGTGTGTGCTATGCCATTATTTGGTGCGCAGCTCTGAATCTATCCATTTATAAGGAGCCATCGCTTATTAACACGTTTTTTAATTTATAAGGGTAACCCGTAATCTCGTAGTTATGGGTTGTGGATCATGGTGATACGTGGCATGAATTCAGATTATTATACAATCATGCTTATTAACAAGACATACTAGAAGAAAACAATTCATTTTCTGTGAGAAGAGCACAAGAATTGATCGGTTGAATATTATACACTTCTATAAGTATAAGTACAATTTTCGAAACGCCAAATTTCGATTCACGTTCGTGTAACGTACATCGATACGCATAAACATAGTAGTCCATAGTATGAAATTCCAAGGACGCTTAAAGGTGCAACAATTAGTACAGGGGGTCATTTAACGATCATCGACCAGTGTCAAAATATATTCAACTTTGGATATTTTATCAAGACTAACATATATTTTCATTATCTACAAAAAACTGGATGAACTTTATTTCAGCTGATATTCCTCTTGAAAATTGGTGGATCTTTAAAATCTATAAGTTGGACTCCCTTTATAGAAGCTTTTGAACTAAATTAATACTTCTTAATGCTGAAATTGATAGTTTATCCATACATATAAAAATAGGTATGTCAAAGAAGGTGTTAAGCCAAATATTGACCTGATAGCTCAGAAAGAATAAACATTTTCGAATTTTCTCTCTGCAGTCCTTGTTGCCCCAGGCCTTTAATCAAGGAGCTGGTAACACAATATAAAGCAGCGATATTTGGCCTAATATTTACATACCTACACAGTATTGTTTTTTTTATTATACACGTTTAATGTTCTTCGGGGTTTTAGGCTGAATTATGCGTGTCATTAACAGGGGTCAAAAATATTAATAAAAACTAAATTCCCCTTTTTACATTTTGGAGTACATGAAATACATTTTAAGTATATGTTTTAGGATTATCAGGTATAAATTTGATATTATTTTTCTTAGAAATACAAAAATTACATAATCAGCACATCAACAAAATGGGTCTTAATTTATTTTGAGATATGGACTGTCACCGTCAGGGGTCAACTATCAATAAATGGGGGCGTACCGTACGTCGAAAGAGAAATGCAAGGCGTTTGATTATCTCTTATAAACTATTAGAAATGCCCCCTAAATATATAAACATATATAGTTATATATTTTACGTATTTGTCATTGTTTTATATTTTATAAAACATAGGCAATTATTTATTGTTTGACTCCTAGCGATGATAAGTATTAAATCTTTAGATAAAAGCTTAAAAAAGTAAAAACAGAATATATTTGAATTTATGCTTTTTTTCAAATAATTCACAAAATTTTGTCGAATATGCTTGACCAATATTTGAAATAATAAACAAAATATAATAAGCACATTTATATAATTACACTAATTAACCACGAGAAATTACAATTGGAATTAGTATCATGTTTGACACAATGATTATCCAGTATATTGTAAATATGCTTACATTAACGTTTTGAGTCTTATGAAATATATGTAAAAGTTCGAATGAAAATATTTACGTTATTTGACCTCTCGTAATGAGAGGCATATTTCAACCCAAAACACCGACGTTTTTCCCAGCAAACGGGATTTTTAAAGAATCAAGTCATCAACCTCCTTAAATATTGGTTCAAATGTTGCTGCACTATATTGTGTTACAGATTCTTCATATTTGGGAGTCATACCATGCACCATAAGTCATGCTTTCCTTTCCACATTTGGAACATACGTCGCAATTGTAAAAACGAACAGAATAATTTTTATGCACGACAATATGTTACTAATTTGACTAAATATGTAATAGAATAAAGTTTATACACTAAGATATACCATTAGTTTGATTAAATAATAAAATAAAGTTCAATGCACTACAATATATTATTAATTTGATTAAAAATGTACTATAGCTTTATACACTACAATTTGTTTTGATTTGATTTTAAAAGTATGTAATACAATAAAGTATTATGCACCATAATATGTTAGTAATTTGATTAAAAATGTAATAGAATAGTTTTATACACTACAATATATTTTGATTTGCTTAAATATGCAATACAATAGAGTTTTATGCACCACAATATGTTATTAATTTGATTAAAAATGTAAAAGAATAGTTTTATACCCTACAGCATATATTTTGATATGATTAAATATGTAATTCAATAAAGTATTATGCACCATAATATGTTATTAATTTTATTAAAATGTAATAGAATAGTTTTATACACTACAACATATTTTGATTTGATTAAATATGTAATTCAATAAAGTATTATGCACCATAATATATTATTAATTTGATTAAAAATGTAATAGAATAGTTTTATACATATTATTAATTTGATTAAATTTGTCATAAAATAAAGTTTTATGCAGTTACAATTTATAATTGATTTGATAAAATATGTAATAAAATATAGTTCTAGTCGGTAATTCAAGGGAACAAAACGTATACCACCTCAAGTTAAGGAACTACATTAAACGCCTAAATCCTTATTTGTGATATCCTGAAACACCCTTTAGATTTATAAAAATGGAAGTTCTCTTATGCCCGGATAAAAAGAAACGCGCATACCATCCGGGGCGATTACGCCTTGGTTGTTATCTATTAAACTGTTTAATAATATATTGAAATATTGTTCTTATGATAAGAACCATCCGGTACAAATGTATAGTCGGAGCTGTTACGTCGATTTGATTTTTATCAGTTTATTGGATATTAAATGGCATTTAATTATTAATCTATTTTGATATTTATAGATGAATCGATTTTCTAAGAGTATTCAAGGTCACTCCCACGGATGTGTTAAACGCCAAACATATCTATGCGGACATCATTCTCCATATGCAGTAAAGCACAAAGAAATAGAGTAATGAACTAAAATAAACTAATGTGGGAAACTAAAACTAACGTGATCGATCTACAGTTATATGGGATATGAATGAGATCAAATAGTAGATCACTCTTTGCTGCTTTTGCGATAAGGTCATTAATGTGCAAAAGTATATAGATGAGCAGTAACGTCTGATCATTAAAAGGAAGACTATTGTAAGATATATTCAATTAAGCGATAAGGCAGTTTCTTTAATTTTTACAAAATGCACTATTGTACAAGAAGAGCTTTTAAGGTAAGGATTACACAATTCTGATAATACTTGTATATAACGAATTATAACGTTACACAATTTCGTTCATGATTTATTGTTTCTGAGTATTTTAAAATATAGAGTCGAATGTAAAATGACACCAATAAACTGGAATGATGTATAAAACTTATACAAATGGATTTAAGTAGCTGCTTGTAGTTTATGTCTTTTTGGGTATTTAGATGAAGTTTTCTATATTCAAAAAATCTTTTCACTGTAATTTATCATTTCATACTCAGACATGTACAAGGTGGGCTTTAAAACGGGAACTTTTTATCATTCTCAAAAGCACTTAGGATCATACATATACACATGACATGTAATGTACAAAATGATGCTATGGCACTTCAATGGTGCATATGCTATGCTTATCTTTGATTGTAATGTTACAACTTTTTAAATGTGATTTTATTCTTAAATATAAAGAAAATTCCCAAAGTCTTTATTTGAAATTTTAGCTCTCAATTTAGAAAAACGAAACTTACAATTGTTTTTGCTTCAAATCACAAGGCATTAAACTCTCAAAAGGTTGTAGTATACGAATTAATATATTTAGTCTCTCCCCTGAGCTCAGACCCTTCTTGCATTAAAATCCTGATTTTAGGCTTTTTGTCAATTAGATGTTAATTTTCATATTGTATTTTTCAATAGTGTTACAAATTAATTAACATTAACGATGCTAGTTCATGAGTAATGAAAACATCCTGGATTGTGGAATATAAAAAAATTACACTAGATGTATTTTATCAAGCACAAAACAATGAATACATGCATCATTTGATAAAAAATATACTGTATATATGTTCACAAATGCTTAATAAACTGTAATAGGCCAAATTCTCATAACATTTGATTCACATCTGCCCTAGAATGGTGTCCCATTTCATTATCCCACCCTGTAGATATGATATTGTGATTAATAAGAACTTAATTTACTTTGCGTTCCACTGTTTCAATTTTTCTTTCAGTTTATTATGGATTTAGCAATAATATTTCTGACATTCCTTGTATTGGACACAACCTGTGCTAAAAATAAAGATCTAAAGAGATTACATAAACAAGTATATGTCAACGATGAGGATATTTTACGGTAAGTGTCCACTAAACTGCTATTTTTTCGTCATTTTTAGGATTCACAGTGCTCTGTATTGAGTATTTTCTTATGTCACCTTTAAGTGTGCTCAAATTAGTCACACTTATGAAATATGTTGATGAAAATGCAAATGGAAACATAAAGTACAAAGAAACTGTACTTTGAAGATCCAAAAACTGACCAAGTAAATTTGTTGGTGTTGTATTATCTCGTAAATATTTGATATGTATTTGTCATTGTGTCATTTGTAATTAAATCAATTGAATGAAATAAATGTTACATTAAATGGTCGATTGGCACGGTGTGCCTCACTAAACCCTGAAGGCTGTAAGTTCAATATACTTTTCAATAGTTTAAAAAATCAATCATCTTTTGAGCTAACCAATCAGACTTGCAGTCATAGAATGTAATGCTTCTAGTAATACAATTAGCTACATTTATCCTTAAACTCTTACCATGGCCAGCAATGAAACTGTAGAATTGTTAAGATTGTCTATCGTTTACTTGGAAAGTATTCAGTACTGTCTCAATATGTTTTTATGTCGAATCTTATTTATTATCTTAGGAGGAATTGAGAAATCTGATTAAAGGTGAAAGTTACCAGATTTAACGATTAAGACATGTTCGTTCAAATTCATTAGAACTGAAAAATCCATTACATCATTATTAATCGGACATAAGCCCGAAGAATGCTGTAAGCATTAATATTGGAAAACAATTATTATTTTAATTGACAGGTTTCTCTTAACTCGTTACAAATTGCCTTTTTAATTCTAAACCGGATGCCTTTTCTACCAAGCATTTGTTAAATGATGGCAAATTAATATCCCCTTCTGTTAAAGTAATCTCCATACTTACAAAGTGCAAACCATAGTACATCCCAAGTATCATAAATGATTCATGGAAAGGCAGACTATTAACTCTATAACAATAAATAAGAATTTAACATTATATCTAGATAATAAGAGTAGCTGTTATATCTTTTATTCATGGATAGGTAAACACCTGTATGCATTACAAGGTAAATGTTTTGCTCAAACAAATAACTTGTAGGCGAATGCATGGGACAAACAGTGCTCAATAAACAAAGGTGTCAGATAGAACATGGTATGTAAGGAAAATAATAGATGTGTAATACTAAACATGTCTGTCCTTTAACCTACATGAAATGACATGGCAAACTTATATGCGGTTAAAAATTGTACCAATATTTAAATATTTTCAAGGTCGACATGAATACATTTGGTTCTAACAAACCAAATGAGATTTGAAATAAGTAATATTTCAGTATAATTTTATAATTTTTATCATGGGTTTTCAACTAGAAGGGTAGTAGTAGTAGGCACTTCCCATATTTCATACATAAGCAATGCCTTTGGGTTTTCAAAATTGGAGAAAGTAAACATTCCAAGAAAATCGTATTTTTTCCTTTTTATGGATGATTTAAAGAAATAACTGTAAAATAAAAACATGATTATCTTCATACATGTTGATAATTTAATAAAAAATGGAATTCATCATAATTATGACAATACAGAAAGTGAACATTCTCCCACAAATTATATTTTTATTGGAATGTGTTCTTGAATAATAACCCACAATGCAATACTCGAAGGGAACATCTTGATACCGCTTATTGTTATTAGTCTTTTTTTACTTTTACATGAGATTAAATATAGTTTATGCTATAATCATTTTGAAAATTGAATTTTATTCAAAATAATACTAAAACATATACATTTATCAAATACTTTTTGAAATATTACCATAAAAGTGAAGCATGGCGCGGCATTGCTCATTTTGAAGGTTTCATGTTATTACACAGAGTTGTATACCCTTCTAATGGAAAGCCCATGTTTTTATCATTAGTGATTTGAATGTCGATTTGATCATATTATAGTTTGATTCCTGAATAGGGTTTCATTTATGCCTGGGTCACATAGCCGCCGGGCGCCGGTCGATGAGTAGTCATCGGCCGATTTATAAATCGACCGGGCGCCGGTGACTTTTCACCGATGTCTTGATCTAATCGTGAGTATGGTCACATTAGTACAGGCATCGTACGGCGCCCGCAATCAATTGAATCTGAAAGACATCGCACGGGTATCGCAAGGCTATCGGCCGATGGCCGTACGGGACCCGCCAGGACATCGGTCGATTTACAGGCCTCTAGATTTATACTTAATCCCTGTATGACCCAGTATGGCTGTTCCACATGGCGTGAATGCAACATTTGAAAACGAAATACTTTGATAAACAGGACTTCCAGGATAATAATGTTTTCATGCAATAAAAATCAGAAAAAGAAGATCCTCTTTTGAGTAAATAGGTTCAATATTTAGAAAAAATGTTGACATGGGGTCCCTATTCATCATTTTTCGAATTGTTTGATTGATATTTTTATCATCATGGGTACTTCGATTGAAAGAAAACATATTGTTTTAATAAAAACACTCTATTTGTGCCCAGAAGGTACTCATGGTGAAAGATATGACCGTCTAAAATCACTTGCCATACTGGACGTGGTCTTTTCATCAAAGTGCACCCTGATCTTAATTCATTTTTAGATCTTTCATATAAAAAATACTACCTGTCCATCCGATGCTATTAGCAAAATTCCCTATTTCTCCATATTTATTCTTGTAAAGAGAATTAGTTTGGTCATAAAAATATGGCTTCAAAGAAATTGGCATATTTCTTCTGTTTCAAGTGGAGTACCCGCTTCCCTATAGACACATCTAAATCTTCATCATCCACCAGCTCAGTAGCATTGTTATTGTCTTTTTCCACCTGTCTTCCCAAGGCCTTCCTCATATATGGCCCATTGGCCTTATCCCCTCTATCATTAGCCTTTGGCATATTTCGTTGTAATTGAGACGTAATTTTTAATCGTAGTAAAATTGTGACCCTTGAAATTACTGTACTCACAAAAACATTCCGAAGGTTTTTAAAATAAATGATTTGTAATGGTATATGCATGAGTGAATATACGCATAAAAATGTAACACTCTATTCAATGTGTATGACAGACATACACGATTAATGCCAATATAAGAACGACTAGATCAACCCACCCACCCAGCCATTCAAATGTGTGCCATTGTTTTATATACAGTAAGCTTAATCGTTCCATTTATGTTTTATAAAAATCTCTGACAGTGTGTAGTAATTATAATTCCTTACCTCATTATTTTTAAAACCTTTATATCACTTTATAAGTAATCATTATTAAGATTTATCCAACAAATCAGCACGCAAAATCCAAAGATGACCTTGCGATGCCACCGGGCGCCGTAAGATAATCGTACGATGATCGGGCGGGACACGGCCGGGTAGGTACCGATGAGTTTGGTTGAGAAAAAATCGCCAAGACATCGGCAACTTTTATCTCCGCGATAAAACTCTGCCGGCGCCCGTACGATGTCTAAAAATCGGCCGATGAGTGGCGATCATCGCCCGGCGGAGCCTATGTGACCAAGGCATTAAGCACTACATTGTGGTCTAATGACAGACATATTGGCATTGTTTATTAAACACAATTGTATTGTGTACTGTCAAGCCCCGCCTAATATATAAGAAATACCTCACCAATGGAAATGTAATTTTAGATGCTGGAACCAATCCACAAACAGGGATACGTTGTCTTTTTACAAAGACAGCAGTTGTATTGTTAGGTTGGATGCTAAAAAATCATGTAGCACTGTCAGAAATTGTCCAAAGGGTACGTACCAAAACAGTTATATACGTCCATGTACAATGTATTTTGCAACGATGACGCCATTATATTTACTTTTGTACTATATGCGCATTGCTTCTGCTCTGGGTAGCTACTGGCTTCTTGAGAAACAGGCAGTGTAGTACCAATACACATATATTCGTGACAATCTAATATCTCAATCTGAACCATATCTGTAAAGACGGAACTATACGAGGGTTGTCCCAGAAGTAATGCACTATATTCTCTAACTTTCTTTAATATTCTTCAATTCAGCCGAAATTTTGTGTATATAACGATAGTATTATCTATTATATCCTGAAGTTTCACCATCAAACATTAATATTAAGTCTTAATATGGTTGCTATAGCAACATGGGGGTAGGGGTCGGCGGGGCAGGTACCAATTTTTCTAATTATGAAAAGATCTAAAGTGTTATTTTATTAATATTTCTTTCCTTTAAATGATCAAAATGTTTGGGAAATTGTTAGATTTATTCAGCATGAGGTTAACCAAGTACAAATAATGACATTTAGCACTGAGATGTCATAAAACCATATTTCAACAGTCACGAATTCAAATACAGTCACGAAATTGCAAAAATGGCTGCAATTCCCACCTGATAATAGAAAGCCTTGCGTTTGGTGGCCTAATTTCATACTTCACTATGACTCACAGCCACGCAAAACTTATGCTACCATGAAGAAACTATATAAGGAGTATATACCAGATAGAACTATAATTATGAGGTGGCAGAAGAGATTTAAAAGATATGATTTGACCCTGAATGACAACTCCAAACATGGGAGGCAAAAACTCCACAAGTCACAGTGGACGAAATTGCCAAGAGTGTTTGACCTGACAGGTATCAAAAGTACATAACATGCAAAGGGCAATATTTTGAGAAAATGTGAAATATACAATATACATCCATTAAATCTAGAATTTGCTCATTCAAATTTTGTATCTTATTTAAAATGTATTTTTGAGCATACTTCTTATAGCTACACAAAATGGTATTTGTTGATTAATTATTTCATATTTTCAATTTTTATTTCTTTTGATGTGACTGTATAACCTGCCCACCCTACCCAAACTCAATATAGTTTTATCAATCAACATGAACATTTTTAGAATAATCAAAATGTCTCCAAGGAACATTTACTGAAAATGTCATGGAAAAATATCATAAAGTTAGAGCATATTGTGCATTACTTGTGGGACAACCCTAGTATTTGACTTCAATAATGTTAGGCTTCACTTTTTTCCAGTCTGTTTTAGCAAAAGGAAACGGATTGGAGACGATGGAATGAAAAAGACTATTACAAAAGTACACGAAATTGGTGAAAGTTGGACAACAAAAAGACATTCGTGTAAATGTTTTCTAGCTAAGGACGTTATGCCAGGAAGTATGCCGAACCTTTTAATGGATAACTTTGGAGTATATATACCAACTCCACATCAACTTCCCCGCAGCGTTTGCCATCCAAAGGGTTTGTTCATTGGCATTTTTTTCATCAAAATAGAACTTTGAAATCATCTAAGCATTCTCTTGGAAATCATCAAACAAAGTACCACTATCCTCGATCAAAGGGTCAATGCACAATAGAAAACTGATTATTTCATTGCATTTACTTTCTCTACACATTCCATGTGTAACCAAATCAATAGCTCATATATTTGTAAGTGCAATGGCCAAAAGGGAAACCTTAAGACTATAGATAGATATATTGATTGTTAAGCACAAACAATCACAATCTGTTGGTGCCTCAAATTCTGTCTTTTTAGAGGATAAGAGTTTCGGTTCATCCACAATGCGCAGTCCGAAATCACTGTACCGTACGTCACATTTGGAGTATGGTACCGTGCGATACTGTTCGAGTATTGCGTTGCACAGTGTTCACGGTACTGTGCTGAGCAGTTTTAGTCTACATTACCATATTTACGGTACTGTGTAGTATCATGCCCAAAACGGCACCATACGATACCGTTAGAGAGACTGTGAATTTGTCTGTCGTTACCTGAATCGTTGAATAACCAAATATTGTTAACTTACAGGTTGTGTGCATCCAACTAAAAACAAACATGTAAAAGAAGGTGCAACAATGCGATCACCACGAGGTATATGCACGTGTGTTAAGGGATCTGATCCAGACAAGAGCAATGTTGACACGTGGTACCATTGGAGCTGTGCCAATAACGATGTACATTAATAGGGCTAGGGAGTAACAAAGAAACGCTTCTAACTATGGTCGGGCAAATATGATCATCCCATATGGACACTTTTTCGAAAATTTTCTGGATTTAATGTTTACGATGTTAGATACATCTTATCCGATCTTTTATAATGTTACTCATCAAATTCAAGCCCAACTTTTTCAGTACTATTATGAAACATTTTCCCGCAGAATTCCAATGTTAAGACTCAAACCAGTAAAGTGAATGGTAAAGACATATTGATGAGCTGTTTGCTAAATTGAAAATGGGTACAGTTACCCGTCAAACAGTTCATTGGAATAAATAGTTTTAAAACGCAAAGGACATAAAAGAATATGTTAATATGTAAAATAAAAATATGTTTGCAGTTTGTGTTTTGGTCTACCTTTCAAAAACTGGTAGCCTATCGTATATGGGTAATGTTTGAAACATTATTTTAACTTACTCTATTTATGCTATTGGTGTTTTAATGATTTTTTCTACGTATAGCAATTTTACAAAAAATCCAGGGCAAATTTTCAAATTTGTATTATGTTTTGAGTGTTTGACTCAATTTTACATGATAATACAATTATAATTGTTACTTTGTATATTGTAATAATGAGGTAAAGAAAAAGTACACTTGTCTTTGAAAATTGTTGTTATTGTATCAACCCAAATGGAAACATCAAGTCAATTTGTGTGGAATACATATTTATTCGTCTAGAAGCTAATAAAATACCCATTTGAGTTTATTCCAGGGAAATAAAATCAGAAAAATGTGGTATTATATTTCTAGTGTACTCTTAGATTAAGATGTTTTCTTTTTCTGTGTTCTGTAACCATTTTTGATATTTTTATGGTAGCGCATGCATATCCATATTAATAATTGATCGTTCAAATTTTGGAAAAAACAACTAATTCTCACACGCTTATTTTGTCGTATGGTATCGTTTGAGTACTATACAATTTTACATACACCAATCAGATAAAAAAAAACTAAGAAAAATTATTGAAAGTGTTTATATTCAATAAATCCAAATTGTAAATAATGTCTGTGAAAATATACCATTGTAAAATATACATCTTTCATTGAGGTATGTTGAGAAAACCATCGACAGTGCAGTTTCTTCGAACTGTATTCTTGTGCTAATAACATTTACGATCAACTTTGATTATTTATTGTAATGTTATTCTAATCATGATATATTGTTATAAAACCGATTAAATATGGATCGATTCAATGCATATTACAAAATCAGCCACTGTGAGTTACATAAAAATCAAAAGTTTTATATTTACGATCATCAACACGGAAAATACCGATTACTTTCATCTGAAAAGATGATCGATGTTCGGGTTTTGAAGTTTTGTTGATCTGATAATATATTCAACCATTCACCATGCTCATGGTATTTAACTATGTAGTATGAATATAAAATATATGAGATAAAATACAGAAATCTGATGTATATAACCATTTGAATATATGAAACGTTGTTATGACGTCAAAGGGTAAGCATAGCAAGAATGCAAAATGAAATAGCAAATTAAAGGTAATTTAATTTAATTTGTACATGTCAACGGAAGCGAGTCTGGTTGCCAAGACTTCAGTTCTAAACAGAAACAAGAGACATTTCGCTCGTTTTTTACAAACTAAATTTTCTAATTGTTGTATATCTTATTATTACCATATTAATGCATTTACTGCGAGAGTTGTATGACTGTATTTAGTATTTACACATGTATATACATGTACATGTCTATATATATGTATTGTCATTTGACTAATTTGATAAATGCTAGGGTAAAATATATATCAGTTTGTAAAGTTACCTTTAATATTCCACTTGTGACGGATAACCTTTTTTTAAATTGTGGCACACACATGCATGTATCAAGGTTCATAGTATTTAAAACCGGATGGAACCAAAAAGGTGGATGTTTGGGAATTCTACGTGGTGACAAATTTGGTATCATGTAGTTAGAAATAGGTACATGGAATTTGTAAACGGGATGACGAACACATTCAAATAATCTACTCCACGGACGTTACACGGATATCTCTTTAATTACATACCATTATTGTACCATAGAGATCTCTCTTTAGACAACTGAATGCATTGTAGTCTTATCGAATATGTATTCATCTTCAAAGTATTATATGGATGTAAGATAATAGTTTATGTCTATGTATTGTTAAGAATATCAGCTCATGTGTCATTTATACTATAATATGTCATCTCTTGGTTGTCTTTATGGCAGTAATGTGCATGCTTAAGGATCTTTAAGTGAAATAAAACGTTCATTATATTAATGTAAAATAATAATCTCTGTTGATAACTTTATTTATTGCGAAGTTTGTTGACGGTTCGTTCATAGTACAGAGTGAGTTTTTTAAAATAATGGTGAACATATTTAAACATATACAGGATGACCTAAAAAATAACACATTAATGGTAGCGCAAAAAACTTGATTCACATTGTGTTTGGAACAAATGTTGAACCCCGATGTAAAGAAATAGGAGAAAATGGGAACAGGGGTTTTCAATTTTAGCAGAGACTGGAGAGTTTAGTAATTGATGTTAATCTTTAATCTTGGTACTCATGTACAAGATTACTGAGATATACTAAAATATGCCATAACTGGATAGTATTCATTAAATCCATAAAGTTTATTTAATATTCATACAAAGTAAAAACTTATTTTTCAAAAGTGTGATATCAGGAACTTTATTTGATCTAAAGCTGAACATTCGTCAAATCATTGCTCCTTTGCTATAGCATAGAACCATATTTTGCCAGGATTCAACTACCTTATGACATAAAGCGTGACAAAGAAGATTTTAATAGTATCAACAAAGCTATTTCAAAAATGGAAAATGTAGCTGCGATATCAAAGGTGTCATTTTGAATGGGTGATGTATTGTATCTTTTTGTGACTCACACATTACAGTTCGTCTTTTGAAATCTTAGTCACATGTCTCTTATCTGCTATTTCTTGCATGAATTCTTTCCAAAATTGAAACTTTTCCTTCCTGAAAAGTTGTCTCGCGTATGGCTGCGGTTGAAGCACGGCAAACTCCTCACTTTCTAAGTTGTACTTTGGCCACTTTGGCAAATCTTCACTGTTCGGATCACTTGAAATAAAAATACAACTTTATATAATTATATGTTTAAAGACTAGCATACATTAATACCATTCAGCAATTTTTGTACTTCTACGTAAAAACTTTTGGAAAGTATGATTGATTGATTGTTCTAGATCTACTATCTACATTTTCAAGTTACAGATTTGTTTTCACGTGGCAGTCATTTCCCACTACAGGGAATTTTGCCATAATATATATACTACATGTAGTATCACCTTTAACTTCCTGTACTAATCTTCGGATATGAATAGGAAAAGCGTCCATAAAGAATGGCACAAATAATCGATTCAACTCTTATTATCGGTACTCTTACAATGTTTGAGTTGGCAACTTTGATTTCCAAGGGGGTGATTGTTTTGTCTTGTAATTGTTTATGTTAGTATATAGTTAAAATACACGTCAGGTTACAATGGCGTCTTTGAAGAAATAATGCTGAGGCTGGCCAATTATAATTTGTAGTCTCACCCATTCTTTGCAAAGTTGGCCCAATACTTCATCAATTGCAGGGCAAATATCTTTTCATCATTTGAATAAGTAACTCTCTCATTTAATTCGCTTGGGTCTACAAACCCAAAGCCAAATAAGAAAAGCAGATCATCACAATGCGATCCATAGTCACGTGGTCTGATCGTCTGCATGTGACCAGGAGAATGGGCGTATATATAAAGGTATGCTGTACCACCTCTCTCTATAAAATAAGTGATCAAAACAACAAATAAATTTTTTCAGAAAAATGGGAAAATAAAAAAGCATTCGTTATTCTGTTTTGGGGTACTATTTAATCATTTTAATCGGGGCTCGCTATTTTACTTGGAATGGGAAGCTATTAATCTATACGTGTAGTACTTGACGTGAAAATATCTAAGCACAAACGCTAAAGGAGGAAAGAGACTAAAAACCGTAAAGAAACCCATCAAGAAAAGCAAACTCTAAATCTAAACCTGCCATAAGAAAATAGACCCCTATATCCCAATATCATGATCTAACGTGAAAAGAAATGGTGTCTAACACCCCTCTTCCCCCAACAAGAGTTTATATCACAATCCAGGACCAGAACACCAAGGGACGTGTCATTCATACTGAAGTCATTACAATACATGTTGAAGAAAAAAATGAGAAATCGATCGCAAATACTCAAAACATGAAAAATAGTTGTCGATACAAGTATCATAAAAGATAGAGCAAGTTTGATATATTTGTATAACATTGTGGACGGATCCTTAAAAGCCAGTATTTTGCTAGCGGAATGATGTCATATACATACCTACAAATGTGTTTGTCAAATTAAGCACAGGGAACTCCATAGTAAAGTCTGTTGTAATCTCAAGGGCCTTTTCTCTATAAGATTTCTCATCCATCTCAGATATATCCTTGTCCAAATAAAACTTCGCAATTTTATTCAGCTTTTCAACAGCAACAGTGTCCTTTTGACAAAACAGTTCATTTGCAAATTTTATTTCTTCCAGAAATGTTCCATAGTTGTACTGTCCATCAAAAGACCAGAGAGAAAGGTACATGTACATTTCATGTTCTGTTGTTCCAACCATTATCTTGGTATCACTAAAATCTGCCTCTTCATAAAGATACTTAGGGTGTTTAGGAAAAAATTCTCCATCAACTGTGACCCGATCGTACTTCATGTTGCCAGATGTTTTTACAATGACTTGATGAATATCTTCGACAGAAGCCTGTCTCACACAATCAGTTATTTCTGATTTGGAGCCATTGACGCAACCTAAAAGTTAATATTTTGGGTATACTCACATTATAAGTTGTTTCGGTTTGACCATTTGATTTATGGGCAATAAAAATACTGTATACGTGGTAATATTTAATCCGAGTGGTTAATATGCCGAATGATCATTTTCATAATTTTAATTTTCCTAATGACAAGAAGCTTCCCTACGGACGACATTAGGAAGATAATATTTCCGGCATTTAATTTTCCGAACCTGGCAGAAATTAGGCAATAGACAAAATATTAAATGATTATGAAAATTTACCACTTATACAGTAAGTCAGTGATTCCAGATTGATCATACACAGTTTTAGTAATTAATCTATACTTAGGACAATAAATGCATAAGGATTAATTTACAGGGTGGTCAAAAAGCGTCGATATATGTTTTATTTGGTGATAACTTTTTCATTAAATGCATATGCTAGTTAATATGGACGCTTTCTGGCCCACTTTGGGCATACATGGGTGTACTTTATATTCTGAACGTCAAATCATTTTGTATTCACGACATCACCTCTCAACACAAGACAGTATGATTTTGACTAATACGAGATTTTAATTCAAGTTTATAAAAATATTAAATCCTTACCTAAAAGAATTGCTGCTTCGTTAAAATGGTCTTCTGGTTTTTCATTGACAACTATATCACTGAGTATAGATCCACTTTGTAGTATAGCATACTTGAATAGACCTTTGCTCATCGGTGACACAATATGTGAGGAAGTACTCCATGAACCTAAATGCAACATCAAAAAAATAAAAAATAAAATATATAAATAAATGCAACATCAGATGAAAATATATCCATCACTTGTAACTCATTAACAGGAATATTTTGTATAGTTGCCAAAGAATCAAACTTATGTCAGTCATTTTCAGACAGTTTTTATTTAAATGAGAGTATCACAAAACAGCAATTACCTGCACTATCACCAAAGATAGTTACGGCATCTGGATCTCCACCAAAAGCCTGAATATTACGTTTTACCCACTTTAGCGCTTCAACTTGGTCTTTGAATCCCATATTACCAGTTATTTGGCCGTCCCCTGAACTCAGAAACCCTGTAATGTGCAATGACTTCAGATCGTTGTTTTGTATAACAATGATCAGCTTTCTTTATATATATAACAAGATATTTTTCAGATTGCGTTTTTCATGCTCTTTGCTTAAGTACTTGTCCTTATAAATTCTTTTAAATTCTCTGGATGTGTAAATTAATTCCCAGTTCCCAAAATTAAATCAATCCATAGTATATTTTCTATTTTATCATACTGTATAGTAAATCTTACCTAGATGAGCAAGCCTGAAATTGATAGCAACAACCACTACATTGTTAAATACACTCAAAGCAGTTCCATTGAAACCATGACCTGACCCTGAAAGAATAATGTTAATGTACCCCATTTTGACAACATCAAATGCAAATATATTCCGCTAGGGTAGAAAATAAAGGAGGAGTTTCCGTATTCAAAGTATTTCCTTAACTTCATCAATCGTCAGTATTGAAGAGAGCAAATCTTGGTTTTACACAAGATGTAAAATTTAAAGATGATAATTTATCGGAGAAGAAAAAATAACCGATTTAATGAGATATAGTATATCTTTAAATAAATAAAAGATAAAATGAGTTAAACTCTTTTGAGCTGTACAATAAGCTAGCAATATATAAATACACGCTTTAGAAGACCTGTTCATAAGACAAGATCCTTAAATGGTGGGTAACGTTGCACTAACGCCAGCCTATGACTCACCACCATTGAGACCTCCGGGATGTATCCAGAACATTACTGGAAGTTTTGTATTAACATCGGGAGTATAAACATCAAGTTCTAGGCAATCCTCCGAGTAAGATGCTGAATCAGCTGGCAGTATCATTGGAAATTTTATTATGTGGATAACTTCATTCCATTCGTCTTGGTCTTGTATACAATAGTTGCCTGTTAATAGATAGGAAGTCGTGACCATTTAAAAAGAGAATGAACCGTTTAGTCCCTTTCTGTAAACCCAAAAACGAAAAAACAGCAGTGTAATTCATATATTAGAACCGTCAATATTTTATTATCGTATTTCATTTACAACACATTTTTACACAGTATATTCATATTTCACCGAAACAGATGAAGTTTAAATAATTTTATTAACACATATTCATGAGAATGTCTAGTAAAAATGCGTTTCTTTTTATCGTATAGAATTTTCTATGTAGCTTTTAACTAGATTTACAAATACACTATCCCAAGATAGAAATTTCTATACAAAAGATTCCATTGGCTTTGCGTATAGAATTTTCTATGCGGATGACGCTGGAAATATTAATTTTGTTATTGATAAACATTTGGTTAGCGGTATAGAAATTTCTATGTGAAGGCCAACGGAAAATTCTAATTCTGTTGCTGGTAAAATATTTCTCCTTGTATAGAAATTTCTATATGGATATATTTCTATACGGTATAGAAATTTCTATGTGAAGGCCAACGAAAAATACTAATTCTGTTACTGGTAAAACATTTCTCCTTGTATAGAAATTTCTATATGGATAATGGCAAAAATAAAAATTGAAACGCTTCATAGAAATTTCTATGTGGGTGCATATTTAAATTATGGTTACTGGTATAGAAATTTCCATATAACAGTCTATGGCATGGTACCCTTTGCATTCGTTTGACTTCACTTCTTAAAAGAGAGCTTCGTCTAGTTTAACTAGACTCTGCATGCAGGGTAATGGCATGGGCCATTTTCCACCTCATATTTAGGTCATAGCTTCCATGGGAGAAAAGGCCCAAATGACCTAATTCCATGACCTTAACTAAAATTGTAAAATGGCCCGACCTGATTCACTCAATTAAACAAAACACGATTATACAAATTGAGTGTAGATTACTCCTAGTACATGAATATTTCAATATTGTTGAATCTAGTTATACAGTAATATTGCAATAGTTGTATATTCATACAAAATTTTGGAAGAATCATCTATCTCGGGTATCAATATTTTAAATGAAGGGCCTTCCTCATATAAAAACGAAGGTCATCCCAGACCCAAAGGATAGATTTAACTACATGTATGCATATGTATTGTTGTCATGCCTTTGTTATGGAAGAAATCCCAAGGAACCCACCTACACGCAACTTTCAAGCGTTTTTCTCTTACTAATCCCAGAATATCTGCACTTTTTCCATATTTGTCAAAAATAACAAAAGGCCAATAAATTGCCATTAACAACAATCTTTCCAAAATTATAACCATTTTAGGGGCAGAATAGAGAGATTTCGCACATAAGTGAAAGTACAACTTATACGTATACGTATAACTTAAAGGGTCTTGTCGAACTATTATATTTACTAAAATCAATTTTAAATTGTACTTAATGGAACATAACTATTACCGATATAGAAAAGCTCCATCAACTAGAGACTGTGAATGCACTGTCATCTGCACGTGTAGATTATGCACATTATAATTAAATGCTTGCTTCCGTGTCATAGTAGTTATAGTGTATTATAAACACGATCCTTTAAAGTGAGTCATTATCCTTTAAAGTGAGTCATTACATAAACAAGCTGATTATTTCAAGGTTTTCATGATCAGTATAAGTTCAATGAACTTACAAACGGTATAAATACGTAGATGATAAACGTATACAGTTGGATCTCCGTATAAAGTTTTACCTACATGTGTGTGGAACAATTGACCGCAAGCATTTTAAAAAATTAATTGACTTAATAGGAACAATATCCAATCAAATACCTTAACCATCAATTTGAAACACCAATCAAACCAGTAGGTTCTAGCGATTCCTGGAAACGACCCATTCAGTAGGTCAACAAATGACATACAGGGTGTTTCATAACGAGCATCTCCAAAAAGTCAATTTGAGAAGAGATGGGTCTATAACATTATGTACTATACAGGGTGTCAAATAAGTCCCGTCCCCCCCTCTACAGCCAAAACCAAGATATTTGGTACCAAGTGAGATATATCATTGGAAAGGTCTTCCAAAGTTACGTTGATTGGCATATATTTGACACATGTCAATCAATCTCATAAATTGTTACATTGTATCAATTGAGGTGACCATATGCCTAGAAACATGGCAATTTGGCGTATTTTGCAGGATTTGAAGAATCCGGTATAAGAAAGCTCAAGGGACAAAAAGATGACTAAATATGTTTATGGCGATGAATTTAACCAATTTCGAGATAGGGTTAGATGTGTAGAAAATAGAGGTACAAGGAAAGTGGTGAAAACATTTTTGTAACAAGTGGAATGCGAAAAAGATTAACTTATTGACGTATTTCTGAGGTCATATCCTTGTCATTTTTGACGCAAAAAAGCTACTTAAAGGAGGGCACGTTAACTATAAAAGACATCATAAAAATATAGGTAAGTTCCATCCAAAATACTTGAGAGTTGGTGAGTTAACATAACTTTGGATGATCTTTCCAATGGTATATCACACTAGGTACCGTCTGTTAAGGTTTTAGCTGTAGCAGGGGGGACGGGACTTATTTGACACCCTGTATATGAGCCTATTTTATTCTAGACAAACATATTTGGATCAACTAAACATGCTACAATTCAAGAAAGTACAAATGGCATCCCTTTGACCTTTATTTATTACAGTCCGAGAAGATCTTTCCTGACGAAAAGCCCTTTATGAAACACCTTGTACGTTTACTTATAAGTATAAGTATACGTTATAAGTTGTACTTTCACGATGTACGAAATCTCTCTAATGACAATCTCCTTTGCAGTATGATATAATAGAAATGTCATTCATTGAATTTAATAGAGATTCACTTGGAAATAATTCCATTTCTTCTGATAATGTGTACATAGTACTATTTTCATCTTATCACTGTTAACAAGTCATTTCTTGCAAATATTATTCTATAAATCTGTTTATCTCTGTTTTTGTGATTATATTGAGGCAACAAATAAGCATCTATCGGGGTTTTTAGTTCTATGGAATCTAAACATTTGTACATTGCCTTTCTTTTTGAAGTATACATATAGTGCATTTACCATTGTGATGGGGTTGGAAGTCAAACAAATCTGTATTTCTTGTTGAATATGATTGTTTGCAGCCTTTTCTTGCTCATCACCGATGACTTGTGCAAAGTAAATGAGAATGGATAAGTTGATTATTATCTGTTATGTTGATCGTACAGTATATAACACCAATAGATCCATTAAAAAATCTTTCTATTTTAGTTTTAGTGACCATTGTTTTAGCATATTATGATGTTGAATTTCAACACCTTCAATATAAAAGTCCATTGAGTAAATGAACTATGCATTCTGTATGTACAAGTATAATTATTTTTAGAAAAACGAAGCTTTAGAATACAAGCTATCAGAAGACAACATATTATTATTATTAGACAACGTTATTTTTGAAATAAAATCACATTGAATAATGGTGAAAGAAACAAGTCAATTGTAATGGTACGTTCACACCAACGGCGCTTTGATGGCGCTTTAAAGCGGCTTGTAAAGCGGCACCAAAGCGTAACAAAGCTTAATTAAAGCGTCGGGGTCGTAATAGGTCGTAGAAAAGCTCGGGAGTAAAGCGGGATATTCGGCAAGAGCGCTAAAAAATTTAAACTGTTTAAGCGTTCGCACCAACGGCGCTTTGATGGCGCTTTAAAGCGGATTGTAAAGCGGCACCAAAGCGTAACAAAGCTTGATTAAAGCGTCGGGATCGTAATAGGTCGTAGAAAAGTTCGGAGTAAAGCGGGATATTCGGCAAGAGCGCCAAAAAATGTTAAACTGTTTAAAAATTTTGGGCGCTCTGTTACGAATTGATTGAAGCGCCGAGAGCGTATCAAAGTTTAACAAACCGTAACAAAGCTCAACAAAGCTTGACTCAAAGCGTAGGAAAGCTTAACACAGCTTGGTTCAAAGCGGGGACCCCAGTCTATTCACGGTCTGTTACCACTTGACACGCTTCGTTAAGATGTCTCAATATTTGCTACGATCTGGCATGAAGATCTGACACGAGGTCAGACGCTTTCATCAATATCTGACACTCTTTGTTACACTTTCCTGAGGGACTCTCAAGCTTTCCAACGAATTGAGACGCTTTAATCAAGGATTGAAACGCTCTGCTAGGCTTTGTTACGCTTGAAAGCTTTCACACGCTATATCACGCCGTGCGACAAACGTCATGTCTTCTTCAGATAGGTCATGCTTTGGTCCATCTGGAATTTCTGGATCTCGTTGTTCTGCCATCGTGTTCTCGAGTCAAAGATGCAATGGTTTTATGGATCTACTGCATCTTTATATAGTCATTGGATCAAAAGCGGCATGGAATCGGCGATCTCGACATTTTCCAATGCGTGACAGAGCTTAACAGAGCGTAACAATGCACAACAGAGTTTTGCAATCGTATCAGAGCCTGATTTAAAGCGTCATAATCGCATCATAGCGTAATAATGCTTATCAAAGCTTTTCAAAGCGTGATTTCAAGCGTAACAAAGCCTGATCAAAGCGGGATCAAAGCGTGAGGAACCTTTTAGAGCTATGTTAAGCTTTCCTACGCTTTGGATCAAGTTTTTCTGAGCTTTGTTACGGTTTGTTAAGCTTTGATACGCTCTCGGCGCTTAATCGATTCGTAACAGAGCGCCCAAATTTTTTTAAGAGTTTAAAATTTTTTGGCGCTCTTGCCGAATAACCCGTTTTACTCTGAGCTTTTCTACGACCTATTACGACCCCTACGCTTTAATCAAACTTTGTTACGCTTTGGTGCCGCTTTACAAGCCGCTTTAAAGCGCCATCAAAGCGCCGTTGGTATGAAGAAAAATGACAAAAATGACGGCGCTTTGCTCGCTGATTTAAAGCGTGGCATTCGCCGTTGGTGTGAACGTACCTT